AGGGGGACTCGCCAGCTAGTTTCTCACTTCTCCGTACTCGTTCTCTTTACCATTGGTTAGATTGTACATTGTATACACAGTAGTAGAGGAAAAGTATTCATAGAGTGATACGTTTAGTTTAAAAAGTCATAACTTCGATTGTGCAGGATGTTGGTATATTCATGAAAGGGTCGATTGTAGTGTATCTTTGGAGGGTCGATTCCAAGAGGCTAAAATAAACGGAAAAGTTGATGCACAAGAGTGTTGATCGAAGCTTATTTATGAGCAATTTAAATTCGCGTTAATGAGAATAAGACTTTTTTATATTACATATTATAATGTGATAAATATTCTTTGATAGAAATTTTTATATATCAATTTTTTCCTAGATATTTTTTGTTTCCAAACGTGCCCAAAAAATATATTATGTAACGTTGTGTTAATATTTAATAATTTTATAAATAATAATATTTAAAAGACAGATTAGAATTAATGATAGATAACTGAGTCAAAATGAAAATTACAGTAAATGTTAAATAATTAAATATGTAATATTTTTTTTTTAATATTATTGTTAAGCTTCTATTTATAAAAAAATTTATATATTATGTTGAATTTTTTTAAGAAGTTATATTAAAGTTACCGTAGATCAATTATAAAGTATTTACTAATCTAAATATATAATATCTGCAAATTAATTGAATTAATTTTCTAAATTTTATATAATTGCCTTTCGAATAATATTATATAAACAAAAATGATTATTTGACCTTGATTTTAAATTTGAACTTCAATTTAAAAATTATGATTTTTTTTATAAATTCTTCTATTTCGAACATTCTGATTTTGAATGAAAAAAAAAAATCTTAAAAATATTAATATTAAATATTTTTATTAGTTTCAATAACATTTTATAATATTTTGTTGATTACATTTATGTAAGATATATTTTTAAAAAACTTTTATAACTGTAAATCTTGGTTCAAACTAAGTCATTAAATTATTAAAAATAACGATATTACGATCAAAAATTTTTCATTTTTTTAAAATCATATAATCATTTGAACACTGTTTATGGTTACGGTCACGGTTTGTTCGATTCTGATTCGACGACATTAGAATAGAGCTAATGCTTACGCGCAAGTCACGCTCCATGGAATTTAATAACGTTCGAGCGAACCGTGACAATATCGTAACCACCGGTGTAAATCGAGCTTGGATCGCGTTCGCTCCCGTGTATATACGATATCTTTTCTCTTTAATAGAATCACGCCCATCATTGCACTGAAGCGAGGAATTTCGATTATTTTCATCGATCTTTTCTTCGAAATTGTCACGTAGGACTAGAACATTCAAATTTTTAAAAGGGACACTAACCTCTTCGATACAGTGTTAGTCAACTGCACAAAATATAACGCGAAATATTTTTTTATAAAGCATTAGTTTTATAATATCATATACTATAATAAATAATAATAATAAATAACTAATTTTTAATAAATAATAGAAATAATATGAAAGTATAATAAAATCACAAATTATATTATGACAAATATATTATTGATTATTAAGTTTATATCTGTACATTTAGTGACATCTAGTGACTGTTGATTTAAGTCAATATTCATATTGAATAGGTTAATCAAGTATGATTTTACAAACAAGTTTAATGTACTAAAACTGATATTTTTTCAATTTTTCAATTATATATCAGTTAGTTAATAGATTATAGTTATATATTTTATGAAAAATACACAAAAAAGATCATAAATTTTGATTCTATCATATTGACGAATGTTTATTCAAAACCGATGAAATAATGAATACAATGGCATGACAGGATAATTATTGGTTATACGTAATATGTTCTTAGGCAGAAGTTATTTTTTGTTCACGTATTTCTAATACAGTCATAAATTAAAAATAACAATAAATCATTGATGAGAAGAACGAATTATAACTTGGAAAATTACTTAATATCTACATAAATTTTTAGCCATCATTTTTAGTTTTAAAACCTATTTTATTACTCACAAAATATATTATTTATTTTTCTTAATTACTTGTGTTATATTGTATCAATAATTGGTCGTTTGAACTTCATTCTATTTCAATTATTACAAATGTCTCAAAAATAAATTACATTTATAAATTTTTCTTTTTTTTTAGCTCTTTGAAAGAAGAAATGGTAAAATATTAATTTTTATACATCTTTATATCTTTATATATCAAATTTTTCTTACTTGAAAAATTCGATAAGATTAAATTTTTATAAATAAAAATTTTATCTTTTTTTTTAAATTACCGAGATTCAATTATATTTATAATCTCAATTATTTAAATCTCAATTAAATCCAAGTTTAATATCACCAAGAATTATCCAAATTTCAAATTTCGAAAACGATAATCGGACCGTTTTCTCTCTTTGCAAGATCCAAAATAAGACTTACTTAGCCATTAAAAAACTCGCATCGTCCAGTTTAACATTATTTTTCATTATGTATCCTCGTCGAGTATACAATGAAAAAGGGGCACGGTTCGAAGGTTTGCGAATGGGCTATAAGCAACAGCGTGTATCGTCGAGATTATAATCAAGTTAAAAGAAATACAGCGGTACTGAGGATAACAAATTTCCGCGTGGAGGAAAATGATTGGAAAACCACGGATCGAACGTGACTCCAACTACCGAGAAAATTGTCTTTGCTCGAGAGTCGCGTACGCGACAATAGTTGTACAGAGTGTATAACGAACGGATAACGCGGAAATAGCTCTTCCGCATGCAGGTACAGTTAAACAGTATGTATATTGCAACTGATTACAGCGGTTCGAGCGATTGCAGCTGTAGCCATGGACTGTTGCCGAAGGCGTGATCGTGGCAAGGGCAAACTCGTAGGCATTTAGCATTAAAACTATTAAAATATAGGTAAAAATATATGGTTACAGGTATATAAATATAATTTTTATCTGTCAAATGATCGATTTTTAATTTGTTAATTGCATTTGATGAATATATCAAATTGGTTGTACAAAAAATCTATTTTTACTGAATCAATCAAATAATCGATTTTTAATTTCTTTGTGTTTGAATATATTCGTCAATTATATAAAATTTATTTCTCTAGAATCGACCATATTTATTAGTTTTTAACATGTTATTTGTTTGACAAGTAAGTATACTTGTCGTGCGAAAAAAAAAATATTTTTTGCTATTTGAATTAAAATTTTAATGAAATTAAAAAGTATTCAGGTTTTTTATTTATATTTTTAAGTTTTTAGAATTCTGAAACGACAATGAAATAAAAGGATAACAAAATAAAAAAATTGATTTAAAAAAATGATGAAATATAATGATCAATATTATTTTTGAACAAAATTTAAGCAGTAAAATTATTCATTTTTCGGAAAAAAATAACTGTAACTTCATCATAATTTACATAATAATTTTATAAATGTATTGATTCTGATAAATATATATATTTTATACTATCATATCTTAATGTTAATTATATACACAAATATATATTTCTAAAATAAAATTATATATATTAATATAATTAATAAACTATTTTAATAAACTATTCTGCAAAAATAAAATATTACAATAAATTTAAAAAAAAAAAGATTTCTAATTACTCATAATATAAATATATATACATACTTCAACTATGTTATATTAGAATGATTCCATTATTTAATAAAAATAAAAAAAGTTGAAAGATTCATGTAGTAAACATGTAGTAATATTCTTTAATTGCGAAAGCACGTAGTATTATCGTGAAAGCGATAAGGCCGTTAAATTGGCGGGAAAATATTTGGCGCGAACGAGTACGGAGACCCTGAGTGCTTGATAAGGGGATTGTGTAAGAGAGAAAAACCGGTAGAAGGTGACGGATGGAAAACGATGGCCGGAACGAAGAATAACGCTGTCATGTTCTCTACGTTTCTTCTTTTATTCCCATTACGATTGCATGTACCAGCATTGTGTGTGGAACGCAATGCCCGTGTCTCTTGAGAATCGGAACGTGATTAATATTACGAACGACTAGAGAGAGAATGAGAGACTGGTTGCGTCTGGATGTGGCGCAATAGACGTGCGCGAGATTATCGCGCATGCTAGCACAGACCACGAGGACGAGAAGCTCTCGTACGTAATGCAACATACGTAAGGCTATTTCATGACAAAATTAACCTCTGTATGAGCAATAAGATAATATTTCTATATTTCATATTTTTGATAATTTTTTACATTTTTGATAAAATATCGCAAAATTGTTTGAATATTTTTGAAATCGATATTTTGCTATTTTATAATATCTGATTGGAAGTTAAATATTTATGAGGATATTTATTTAGAATCCAAATTATATATTTGATCTTATTTTACAAACGAATAATAAAAGTTTTATTAAAAAAAAAAAAGAACAAAAAGAAATAATTAAAGTTCAATTGGTATTATCTCACTCGATTTTTTTTCAATAAAAACAAAAATAAATTTCGATACAATCAAATCATAATAAGAATCACATTCGTTTTATAATGCAAAATTTCAATTCTGAATTTCTTTTACAGTTATGATTGCCCACATAGGAATTAAATCAAAGAGAAAACCATCAATTCGTCACACTTTCTTTTTGAATGCTCGTTACTTTGCCGTGGATCATCAATGATTCTTTCTAAACATTATAATAGAGTCTCTTTCGAACATATACTGTTTTAGTGTTTTTCATCGATGATTCATATGGCGAGAAGGCGAGAGACAAAGTCAAATGGTTGTCACTAGTAGAACAAGTCGATAAACGCGGTAGACGATAAATCACCGGTACTTGTCCGCGGTAAAAATAAAATGTCGGACTAGCGAAATAGCGCATAAATCCCCCTGGTGGCGTAGAAAAGAATTATCGCTGCTACGATTTCATCATGAGCTTCTCGTTCACGCGTGCGCTGTTCGATAAGGATGAAATGATGATGAACATGATTCGTTCGCTAAGATTCCTTGCGAGCAAAAGAGAGATCCGACTTACCCAGTTGCTTTGAGGCATACTGTTGTAATAGACGTGTCCGTTTCTTCTCATAGCCCTTTTGCGTAATATCCCCTAGAACAGTTAAAATTACAATTAACGTACTCGGAAATATTACAAATGTATCTATGAATATGAATGATTCTAATTAATATATACAAAAATAGCATTTCAAATAGCAATCAATCGTTCGAAATAACGACATTCGATACAATTTACAATTAACATTATATAAGATTAATCGAATAAAAGCGATATGTTAAAAGAAGACCATTATGCGATTAATAATTGCGTATTCTCAAAAATAAATAAATAAAAGGATTGCACGTTGAATCGTGTTCTCGAACGAATAGCTAAATAAGAAAGATCAATTTCTCAATGCTCTTTTCCATCGAAACGATTTCTGCTGTGACTGAAAAAGGATGTATTTCGATAGCTTCTGGCGCGATCTCGTTTCGGGGTAATTTCTTCGCAGCACAGAACCCGTGGAATTTCGAGGACGATCGGTGAACCCAAGTCGTTACGTTTAGAGTGGTAGAAATTGCTTCGAAAATTCTCAGGGAGACGAGTTGTAAACGGAGACACCTGGCTGAAAGTCACCTCGCTAAATGTAAACCAATGAAATTTTCCGAGAAAAGGAATTCTCAAGGCGCCTCGGATACGCAAATTTACTAGACCTGTTCTGGAATAACATTCTTCGAGTCATGGGGTGCCTTTCCATGATGCAATACTACCTAATACAATTAATCTATAGTAGGTTAATTACTCGCAATTAGATAAGTTTTTTTTTACAATAACACCAACCGGTTCAAAAAAATTTAATGCACGATTCCTCAAATAAAAAAAAATAAAAAAAAAATAAAAAAAATTGCATCTTAGACTCATTTTTTAATTATTCACAATCAGAGACAATATCCCAACTTCTTTATCTTCTATATATTTGTTCTTGTAAAGAAATTTTTAATTGTCAATAATTAAAAATAAAAACAATTTTTTAAAATAGAAAAACAATTTTTTACTTTTGAATTGATATATACATACATATATATATAACTTGTATAAAATAAAAACATTTATGACTGCATTTTTGTTAGTATATTATAGAAAAAAAATTTATCGCCTCAACAAAAACTTAACGAAAGAAGTTTGAGCATTAGGAATTTCAAATAATATGCACAATAATATATCGTATATAGATATGAAAAGGCATTATTTGCATCAATGATGAATAATTTTGCAAGGAAATAACGATAAACAAGTTTTTCATTCGCAAAATTCCAGAATGGGTATGTATTGTAAATTTCTGCATCGCAACAAGTTTGCCCACGTGTCTTATACGATGCGAAACGAGTTGGCATGCTGGCGTCACGCCTCGTAACTCGAGAAAATGCCTAGAATCGATCGGCTAACGGCCGAGACACGATTTTTCCAGGTAGGAGCACCGGCACAAAACGAAACTAGGCCATGCAACATTATCACTGAATTTATTTCAACGAGCACGGATATCTATATCCCAATTATCCAATTTTCTACGTAAATTATGTGTTTTATATATATCAAATAGAATTCCGGTCCTATAAACTTTATTTATATGAACGAAGGTTTCAATGATATCCGAGTATTTGAACTTTAGATCAAATTATTGAACTACTATTTTGCTGTATATTAAAACATTTTCAAATAATTCGTGTTCTACTATTACCAATTGTTACCTAACCTTCTTACACAAAAATCTTAAATAAGAATATATGGCGTGAGCGATTAGATTACATGTGCGTGAAGATTCCACGATTAAACTCAATTTTTATAATTACTGAATAAAATTGAACTACTTTAAAATAAACAGAATGCTATTAATATGCAATTATATCCTATCTGCAATATTTATTATTATATATATTTTATATCAAAAAAATAAAATAAAATAAAATAATAGTATAAAAATATAACATAAAAAATTAATTCAATTAAGAATTGCATAATTATTCTGTTACATGATACATTGAATGAAATATGAACTCTATTAATTGAACTTGAAAACTCTGAAACTAGATTATTAAAATTATAATGATGAGAATTCAACCGATAAAAAACGAAATGATCGATGATATATAATTCACGTTAAATGATCCGCTATATTTCAATTCAACTAATTTTCTTAAATTTATTTCAATTTTAATCGTAGACACGATTACAGTAATATCCCACGAAGCAATGTTCACAAGATTCGCAACCAGTTTGCGCCGACATTTCTACCATGAAAAAAAAAAAATGTCTTTGAACAATAACCCACGTTAATATGTACTACCGCATCTAGCAAGAGAAATGACTCAAGTGCCTGAAATTGATTCAATTGTCTTCGAAGCGTGCTGACGCCAAATTATGTAAATCAACGTGGATTTTCGATTCTGCTTCTAACTTATAGAAATGCTTAATATTCTGGATCTTGAATTGCAAATTAACCAACACTATCTCCCTCCTACTTTTTCGAAATACTTTCACGATTTAACGTTATCAAATATAATCTCTAAGGATACAAATGTATTCAAGAATATAAGTTCTTGAGAGTTGCACTTGAAAGTTATTTTTCGTGAGCACTGCACTTAAAAATAAAAGTTATTCTTGGACACTTCACTCAGTTAAATCGCCTAAGGATATTTAAGACTAAATTTTCGAACGTTCGAAAATTATTTTTTTTTTTTTCGAACATTAATGAATACTATATTGAGAATGACAATTAACAATTATTCTCCACATAATGTCTATTAATGAAAAATAAAACTTTTAGAAAATGAATAGCAAAATTATCACGTGCACGGCAAATCATGACTCGTAATACATCGTAACATAATAATAAAATAAATTAATGAATGTCACTTTGTTTCATAACAAAATTTTTTTCGTTTTTGTTATAAAATAAATTAATCAATCCAAAACAATATAGTTTTTCTAATTTGAATTATAAAATTATTGGATTATTTTTGATTTTTAAATAAAAAATATTATATTATAATATTATATACAATTGATTTTTAAATAAATAATTATTATTAATTTTATTTTTTATTATAATAATAACATATAAATCTTGCGAAATTCGACATTTACCGATAAAAGGTTAACTTAACCTAAAAATACGTAAGTGAAACTCCCGAGTATTTTTCAGTACTGGAAACTTAAGAGCATCAGTGTCTCCCTCTTTCGTTTATTTCACGCTAACACAGAATTCCTGTATCCACAGTCTGTTAAATTATTCTTAAATTTTTAATGCAAAGTATAATTGAAAAGAAGTTGAAAGAAAACGAGGAAATCAGTAGCTTAATGCAAAAACGATCTTCTTCCAAAATGGTAGTGGAAAGACTTAGCCAGGAGGCTAGACGTTGAGCAATGGAATACGAGCGTATATATCTCTACGGGCTATCTAACCGCTAGTTAAAATTATCGGTACGCGGATCGACTGGTCCTTCGGGCAAAGTGCATATTGTGCGCGGATCTATGAACGCGAACACGTCGAAGGGAATTATTGCACGCTCGAATTATGGTTACCATGCGGCTGAAGAATTTCTTTGCTGGGGATATATACCGGCAGATCCTGCATCTATTAAACGCTTGAGCCAGGACATTGACATCGACGTTCATAATTAACTCTTTAACCATAACGTATCTATTTTTATTGATCATATCTACAATGCTTAATAAATTAAATATAATCAAATCTAGCATTTTTTTCATCTTCAGAAATTGAATTGAATGTAAATCGGCGAGTGAGAAAATAAATATAATTAGAGAAAGTGAAATAAATTGCATATTAAAGAAATGCAAATAATCGTGATGTAAAGAAAAATTAATTTTCTATGAAGATAGTGAAATTGTTCGGATTCTTTGATAGATAAATTTTTAGAAATTAAAAATCCATACGTAGAAAATTTCCATTGAAAGAAGTGGAAAGATTTTTTTTTTTTAGATTTTATATTTGCCATATAATGATTAATAATTAAAAAAAATTGGAAATTTTAATTTACGCGTAGAAAATAAATAGTATTATAGAGTAAATATGGTAGCAATGATAAAAATTTCCAATAAGAAGAACGCATATATGGGCAAGAAGCAATCAAAGGTTGATAGGCATCCGATTGCATTCAAGAGACTCGAAGAAAGAAATTGGAAAGAGGCGGCGATTAATCGAACGTACGTGCACAGCTTTGAATCAAGTTTAACGGAGGCAAAAACCGCAATAAAACCAAACTGGGCGATTCTGTTACGTGATTAACGTCGATCAGGTGGAATACCAGACGAAAAGGAGACAGATTCGCAACTAATCTTAAGAAGTGACACAAAGTTTGTTGTTGAATCATCGTATTAACATAATACCAATAATTTGATTTCAATCGTCGTTAAAAGAAAAAATTAATTTCCATTAGCAAACTTTATACGACGTAGAAAGTAGTTTTTAAATAGATTAATCGATAAGTAAGTTATTTCTCTCTATTAACTTTTGCTCTAAAAAAGATATTTAAGTAATTATGCCACTAGATGGCTACATAGATGATTACAAAGAACTTTGTCGTTGCTGTAAATATCATTTCAATTGCATCAAGCAATCTTGCACATGGTTTGTTAAACATGAAACATATAATAGATATGTCGAAATGGAATTCATATATTTCAGATTTTTGAGGACAAAAAATTATTTCCAGCTTATTTTTATCATTTAGATATATCATGTTTTCACAAATGAAAATATTATTGGAAATTATTTTAACATGGATGACGAAGTGAGGTATACATCTTGTTTAAAATGTTAAGTAATCGAAATGGAAATTCTTTTAAGATGTAATGTATAAATTAGATCCACGTTTCGATCAATTTTTGCAGATGATGAAGTATTAGTTGAGAAATAGTATTTGAATGTACATAAATTTCTATTAGTTACATTAGCTATAAAATTATTTTATCATTTATACATTTTTTATATTTATTATTATTCCTCATTTATTCACATTCTTTTTAAAAGAAAAGAATAATCTTATTTATTAATAATAAACTCACATATATGAAACTATTGGAAAAAGCATTGTCGATAAAATTATTTCCAATTTCTAAAAAAAACAATAATTATTTATATCAATATCTTTTGCACCTGAAATTTTGATCCTTAGATTTTTCACTTATTTTGAACCATAAAATCTCCCTAACTTCATTTTTATCATAAATTATAGAATACATTATATACTATGAGGCAGCAATTTTCAATAAAATATATGTAAAAATATATTCAAATTTTGTTCACAGAATGTCTTAAAAATATTATTTAAGATACAATATATATATATATTTGTTGTGCAGTGAGATGAGAAAAGATTGAAAATCGTTGCCATAAAATAATAATCCGAAATATTGCGAACGTAATAATAATAAGATCGTCGTTTAGTTAGAATCTTACTGGGTCTTTTCCTCAAGGACGAACATTTTCGCACGAGAAAGACTGGCTGGCCGGAGGCCTTTCGAAGTTGAGATTTTCGCCTGAGAGGTCTTCTCCTAAGCCCCGACCTTTGCCTCTTTAAGTGTTGCTGCCTATGCATCGCGTGAGTGCTCTTCCTTCGTTCGAGATGATTGGTCGTTTCGTCCTCGGTTTCGCTGTCGGTAGACGAGAGACATCTGTAGTACAACGATGAATCTATTCTCGTCTTCTCTTTGCCAATGAGATTGCTCGAGCCCTTCGATAGAAAGCTGAGAAACTGGTTGCTGGCAAAGTAATTCGAAGTCATGGGTCGCCATATCGTTCTTCGCGCGAGGACCCCACTAGTTCGTAGCTCCTCAGAGAATAGTTTGTCTTCGTTAAAATCGCTAATCTTTGGTGCCCGACAAGCCGACGACGAGGAGGACGTCGCGCTAAAGGAACCTAACGAGGACGAGACCAACGAGTTCAAACCTCCTTCTCGTCTGTCGTTAAAATCCCCCGAAAGCAACAACTTCAGGTCGTCGAATTGGTCGTCCGACAAATTCGACGAATAATCGTCGATTCTCTCGATTACAGGAATTTCAGCCTCGGGAAAGTATCTTATCTCTCGCCAGACTCGCCTTTGACGTTTCGATCTACGCCTTTCCGGCGGGACGAACCACACCGGACTGTTCGAACGCGCCACGGGCTGAGGTTGAGGTTGAGATTTCTTTACCCTCTGAGACGTCCGCTTTCCACGGCGTCGTGAACTGGATCGCCTCGAGGCGTTCGTTCGCTTGAAGTAACCCTCCGCGCTTACGCTGGGCGATGGTTTCTTCGTTCTTCGGTTGAAGAAACCGTTTCTCGTACCCCTAAAGTCACGTTATCATCGAATTCACGTCTAGCCACCAAATTTTCGACCGATGAAATTGACGAAATATTTTAGTTCATCAAAAAATATAATCGAAAGATATTTCAATCTTGGATAATAGTATTTGAAAAAAATGAATAAAAATATTTGCACGAGACTATTTATTCGGTGTTAAATTAAATTCGGTTTTATTATAGTATAAATTTTTTGAATTTTTATCAAATATATATTTCTATAGATTTCGATATACAGAATGGAAAAATTATACTCTTAATTGTATTTCGCAATTCACTGGTTTAATTGCATTTCAAGTTACGAATTTTTATCACATCTGCTTGAAAACATTAGAGTATAAGTTAAAATTATCTCTCAAACAATTAATTAAAATAATTTCATATAATTAATATTATATAATTATTTATTTAATGAAAAATATATTAAATATTTTAATATTATTATAATCAATAATGTAAAATTTGAATTTGGCACACTTCTATTATTATTATTATTATTATTTAATTATTAAATATAATTAGATAAATATTCAACATGGCATAAAAATTCTTTAAACATTCATAACTTTCCATGCAAGCAATAAATTAAATCAACAATTAAGATCATCATTTTCAGATTCTGTACGTTAAAATTTTTAAAAAAATATATAGTAAAAAGTGTAAAAATTTTTTACAAAAATTTCATTCATTAATAAAAAATATAAGAAAATTTATTTTTCAAATAAATTTTTTTGATAATTTAATTATGTAAAAAAATAATAAAAAAATTAAAATAATGATACATTTATCTAATTGAAACTATTTTAATTGTTTCCAAAACTTTTTACTCAAGAGATATATACTCAGCACTAATTTTAAATTGTGAAATTGTAAAATCAAATTAAAATTTATAAATTTACACATTTGCAATTTTTTCGTTTTTTATGGAAACTTTTTACTTTCACATTTCGCAATTTCATCGTCGACATAAATTGTGTCGATTAATAAACACAAGTGATAATAACCCTGCACGAAAATCAGCCAACTTGGCGATTCTCAAGGAAAAGCCGAATGCAGATGTGATATCTTTTCCAGTGACACTTTTCTCAGGAGCGGAAACTGTCCGCGCCACAGTAGGCTGAGGTTTCCTCTCTTTGAGCGCACTATCCAAAGAGTGGTGTATAGATGGTCCCGAGGATGAAGGGAAGGGCATAGGTACCGCATCTCTCCATATTCTACCAAGATTAATACTGACGCTAGGAGGCCCTTCGATAAATGGTTCCTGAACCTGCAGGATATCTTGATGATTGTTTTTTTCTTGAATCGTCTCGTTCGATATTCTGAAAGGCTTGGAAGCTAATACCGGCGATGCATCTAAATCGAGAACTTTTAAATCTTCAGCCACGTGATCGGCCTCGATCTGTTTTTGAAATTTCGGAATATTGTTCTTTCCTAAAATGTTATGCTGTTTATTTTGTTTGTTCTGTTGTTGTTCTCGATGCACCTCGTCCAATTTCTCGCGCGAGGACGAACTGACACCTTGCAACCATTCGTCGTAACTGATCGACTCGCGACTTAAAGTATCGTCTTGAAGTTTCTTCGGTTTCTGTTCGTTTATTATCGTCTGCTTCTCGATAGATTTTTCGTCTAACTTTGTATCGATAGAGGGCGCAACAGTCGACGGCTCCAAGCTCTTCTGAAGCTTGTTACGTCGCTTGCCCCGATCTAGATAACTTTTTCTTATCGATATCCTTTTGAAGGACTCGCTGCGCTTGAAGGATGGCTCGTTACGGTCCTTCTTGCGGCCGACGAGCCTCCTCAAGTTCTCAAAGGACAGTGGTCTCATGAGTCCGGCCCTTCTTCTCCACTCAAACGATCGTCGTCGTGTTCATTGTTCACTTTTTATCCCTTTGCCGTATCCTCGACGCGTCTTCGTGACTTTTTCTTCAAATACCTTGATCTCATGTGTATATATTGGCAATTTCTCCTTCTATCTATTTTACACACTTACGTTACTTTATACTTTCTTGAATTACACCGGGCCGAAAGGAAATTTACCAAGAACGAGCATTCTCCGTTTACATTCTACGTCTTTCGATTTATCTCGGTTTCCGCTTCGAGTTATCTTGTACCGGGAATCGAATATCCTTTCGAAGCAATCGCCAAACGATTCCTCGCGAATGGAGGATTCGTTTTCGTTCTTCCAACAAACCATGCGTCCACTTCGAGTCCTTATCTCGTTACGAATAGCCAGAGAGAGAAGAGAAGAGAGAGAAAGAGAAAACGAGAAAGAGAGAGATAGACTACGAGGCTGCACTGGTTCTCCAGGTATCTCTCTCTTCCTCATTTGTATCGTAGTTCTTCTACTCTTTTCTGTCTCTCTCGATTGCTTGGCAAACGTACACGCTTGCGCGTTTCTGCGATCTTAAGGTGCAACTCCCGAGGTCTTCCAGTCGCGAATCACCATGGCTTTCCTTTTTCGACGTGCTGTAAGTCCAATCGTTCTTTCTTTCTTTCTTTCTTTCTTTATTCTTTTCGTACAATTGCCACTTTATTGAACAAAGATTCTTCGGCAAAATAGATAGCGATTCGGTAACCAGATCGAATAGACGTCTTAAGAAAAATTAAAGTTAAGTTGTTACAAGATTAATTCGAGATAATGCGGTTTCAACGTTAACACTCAAGGGCAAAACCGTCTTCCTGTTACGTTCTGCCTCAAGGAAACTATGATTCGATAACAGTAACCGCGGTGTATACCACGATTAATATCGTGAATCAACCACCGCAATATTTATTTCAACAATATTTATTTCAAATTAGTTTGATGGTTTCGAAAAAGTAGATTTTTTTTTAGGTTAGATTCGGCGAATGTTTCGAAAAAGTAGATTTTTTTTAGGTTAGATTCGGCGAACTTTTCGAAAAAGTAGATTTTTTTTTAGGTTAGATTCGACGAACATTTCGAAGAAACACCTTAATTCACACAATAATTTCAATTGGTATTCAAAACTGATGTTCTTTTGTACGTATATGCACTTCATCCGAAAGCATCTAGAATCGTTGAAAAGATATTCGACGATACTTTCTCCGCCCTCAAACGATTACGACATTGATTTCATCCTTTCCTTCGCCATATACGTTGTTGTCAAATATATATATATATATATTTATTATTTTATATTAAAATGAATCACCAATCAATTCTCATTTGAAGAAATATTATAAACACTGAACAATCACTGAATTTTATTTTACAAACATATACAAAATTTCAAACCACAAATCTAATTATTATACACACTATCATTATATATCGATTCCAAGAAAGATGATTCTTCAATTTCGTTTTTTTCTTCAATATCACAAAGTTATTGATATTACGCTGAAACGGCAACGTCACGTCACATACCGGCCTCGAAAGCATGGCTGACCAATCGCTACCTGACCAATCGTTTTTATAAATAAGAAAAGTGCAAGCATAGTATTTGTAGATAGAATTTCCACTAGACTCTTCTTTTTGATTTATACATGAATGAAAATATTTACACATTCTACAACAAATTACTAAATTCATCGTTCTATTACAAAAATTGTTCTATTATACGAATTGTTTATATATCGATAAAAATAAATTATACAAAAAACGATATTATAAGAATAAAGAAAAAGAAAATTTTGAATTGATACGCCAACACATTAAATTCGAATCGAGATATTTAGTAATATTTTATTCTATTTCAAACGAATTTTAAATAAAAGGAAGATATACGATCATATAGTATCAGTTTTTTCCGGTTTAGTATTCGCAAATTTTTTTCTGATGGCTTGATGATTAATGTTTGTATGATCATCAAAATAATTATACGAATGTATATTGCATATTGTGTACATAAATCAATTTTATCTTTCAATCCAGATTTATATTTTTAAAAATTTTAATAGAATTATATAATTTAATTTAATAATATTTTAATTGAATTTAATACGTGATACAATTTACACAAAGATAACTATAAACAATTACACAAAGTATATAATATAATAATAATGAATTATATATAAAAGAATTATATAAAAACAAATGAAATGAATATATAAGAAATATTAGAAATTTTTGTTAAAAAGATTATGTTAAAAAAAGAAAATTAATTTTTGTGTTCAAAAAAATCCATCGTGCAAATATTATTTCTATAAAATCGGAAAAAACTCGTTTGTTTCTCGAATTCGCGCCCATGAGAGTCTATGTATTTCACAAATTTTTCTTCTCTTTTTTACGATATTTTTTGTCAATAGCAAAAAAAGTTATAATTATGGAATTCATTTTAATTTTCAATCTCGATTGCGTTTCGTTTATTGATTTGCGACTTATTGTAGTAATACGCGACATAATATTACATTCACAAATACTTAATATCAAGACGTTCTCGAAAACTCACATCTTTCAAGTCAAAGTGAATAATTGAGAAAGAGAAGAAAAATAAAAAGGTATAAACAATAAAAGAAAAATGATTTAAAAAAAAAACAAAATGGTAAAAATAGATATAGTGGTACAGTAATATCAAACGCTGTAATGGTAATAGCAATAAAGAAATAGGGGGAAGAAAAACAGAAAAGAGAAGAAAAAAAAAGTAGAGCAGCGATAGTAGCGGCACTAGTAGTATAAGCAAGAGTATCAGCGTGATGCACGTAGGAAGCAAGGGTAGCAGCCGGTTGGTATGTGCGCGTTTATGTGTGTATGTGTGTATACGAGGCGTACTCAAGGCGCAGAGCGTCGCGACGCGTGTCTACCCTTATCGCGGAGGGCAGAGGAACGAGCATCAGTCGAAGCACACGATCCCCTCGTCTCGTAAGGAGAAAAACTCTCGTAGTGCGCGTAGTCGAAGTCGCGTCGAATCACTGGCATTTCGCGAGCTCTCGACGCTGCACCTCTCCCTGGCTCACGAGAGAACCGCCACGGATCCGGCGAAAGAGAAATAGAGAGGGACCGAGGGATCGGTCGGACGGGTGAGCGGGAGGGAAAAGAGAATGATAGAAAGAGAGAAAAGACAGCGGAGAGAAGTGGCCTCAGGGAAGCGGGCCTTGGTTAATAAAAGACACGCTGCGAAACAGAGAAGGAAAGAAGGAAAGGAACGAGGGGGGGTAAGGAGCGGTAGTGGTGGTATGCCGTCCGTCCACTCTCGCCTGCACATTCTACTCTCTTACTTCTCTCGCAGCATCCCACTCTCCTTCCTTTCCTTTGCCCCTTTTCTATCTTCTCTACGTAAGTCCATCTTCTTCCTTCTTTTCTTTCTCTACTCTTACCTTTTTCCTTTTCATTCTATCTCTTTCTCTCTTTCTATATTTCTCCTTCTCTTCGCTCCGTCGTTTCCCGTTGCTCTCCTCCACACCGCTCCGCCCTCCGGGCAAGACAATCTTTCTCTTTCTTTCTTCGCATTGCCTCTTTCTGTCCCTTCTCTCGTGTATATGCTCGCCTCGCGGGTTCCAAGACTATCCGAGCTTTTCTTTCTCATTTTCATATTACACGCCGGTTTTACCGTCTCGCTCATACTCATGCGGTTTTCTTAAGGCGGATTTAGAAAGATCGTGAATCGGATAGAGAATCTAGCGATGCGAATGATGCCCAAGCGGTATCGATAATTTTTACCCGTATAGTATACATCTTTCTCGCGAAGAGACTGCGATCGTGTACGAATCATGCTGGGGATCAAATGCATCCGATTCGTGGCCGATACTATTGGATACTATTGGATACTCGTTGCCGGCAAAAATCTTGTCACAATTACTCGCTCTTGTGAAACGCTTCAGTATTATTAATAGAAACGAAGGGCAATTCCGTGAACGCTTTTATGTCAACATTTGCTACTTATATTATATATTTTTATTATATATTTTATTATATATTTCTTTTGATTATTATCTTAATTGATAAATATGATTTTAGTTTCAATTACTTCAGTAAATTTTTCCTATCTTTTTTCATTTGATTGCTAATTTATTGAAAAAATATAATGCTTAGCAAATGATTTCATCTTGCCTTTAAGTTAGAATGTCAAGGCATTGTAAATCGATGTATATAATATTCATTTATAATATCTAATGCTTTGCCAGAGTAGGTGAGAAAGTAACATGAAATTAAGGTTTAACGTTAAATGCGATCATTATGTTCTTACGTGATTTTAGAGAAGCAAGAAGCTGTTGTTTGTCCTATTTAACTATACTGTTCTGTTTCTTTAAACTTTTTTATAAATATTTCAAAAAATAATTGATGATAAAATATGAAATTATTTTTACAGTTTTTATTTAAAAAGATTAGTAATTATATACAGATTGATAAGAAAAACGAGTTCATAACTTTAAAAATAAATAGTATAGTATTTATCAATTGAAGAAACAAAAACGTTAATAATATGAAATAAAAAAATTAATATTTTTAAAATTATTAAACATATAAAACATATTAAATTTTTTATTTTAATTAAAATGAATAACTTTTTTATTTAGGATGATTTAGGATCTAATGTTATGTAAAGATAACAGTTTAAAAAATTTTTTAAAAATTGAAAAGAAATATTGATATTAATTCTATATACAAATCATAATTGGATTAGAAGTTTCATCAAATCAAAATTCTAATTAGCGTTATTGTTGAAACAACAAAAATCTTCAATCATTAAAACGCGAGAATTAAAAAATTATTATAATAAAATATTCAAAATTTATGAGAGAAAGAGAAAAAAGTAATAGAAAGAAAGACTTCTCAAGCATCAAAGAAACTTTGTTCTTCAATTGGAATTGAAACGTGGTCCCCTTACAAGCAATGGTTGTAACAGAGCAGAAAGCATCGATGTTCGTTTTACGACGAAAAAAGGTTTAAATTGACGGGTTGATTGCACGGTGCTCTTCGACCTCCCACTCCCTAGCGCTAGGCCTTAACTACCAGAGACCCAAGAGCACATCGCTGTGCGTTTGTACTTTCCACGAATACAACTCGAAACGCCCACGCCCGATCATCTCGTGCAAGTAGCACGAAACTAGCGAAATCGACGCCTCGTGTAGAAAGCATGAAAATCCTTAGATCAAATTTTGTCACGAACTCGACTAGTCAAAAAATTTAATTCTTGTCGCGACAAATATGGTCATGAGAAAGAAATTGAATTTATTAGACATTATTTTATAAAATATTTTTATTTCGCAATTTGAAACCTTCGTACGAAAAAAAATATTATGCGTGATAAAAAAGAAAATGAGTTTTAAAGAAATATTGAATATTAAATGAATTCTAAAAAAAATATGTTTGAATAAAATTCAATTAGTCGGTAATAAATATACCAAAACAATGATAATAGCTGTTTAAAAGATTAACAAAACAATATAAAAAAGTTTATCACAGCAATTATCGCTTACTTATTAAAATAAAAGATTTTCTAATAAATTCTATTCTTATAAATATTTCTATTAAAAATTTTTCGAAATTTTCAGATTATTTAATCAAAATTAATTTTAATACAACATTCAACATGTATTTCAATACGAAAAATAATACAAATAATATGAATCTAAAACACAGAATTATCGCTTAATCGATGATGAAATTATTCAATGAATATCAGTAATACCGATTATAGTTTTTAGTTCATGTTAAAAACTAACGAGAAAAAAAAATTTGCAAATAATTCGCAATAAATTTGAAAAGAATCGATAACCGATAAAAATAATTTGGAACCTCGTTTCTTCTGATCGATAAAGGCGACACGTTGGATACGTAGTTTTCTATCGTGTATCGATATCGTCGGAAGGTGAGGAGGAGGGAAATAATAGCCGATAAGCGTGTGGTCTCTGGTACAAGACGTATATGCAACGAGGCCTCGATACGTACATGCAACTCAAGGCGATTTCAGGACGTTTACCCACGAAACCGACGACCTTGATCTTACAAACGGTCCACGAACGAGCTGCGACAGCAGCTGCACCGACACCGACGGATGCATTCCACCAGAGGGCAACCGCACCTGCGCCACCTAACCACAACTGCCGCACTTCTCTCTGCCGGACAATTCCTTCACGAATCCCTCTTGTTTACTAATTCCGCTGACCTCCCCACTCTCTTTTTCGGACCACG